ACGGGCTCAGGCAATCCACTCACCTCAGCCTCCCAAAGGCGCAGGATTACAGGGTGAGCCTCCAAGCCCGGCTATGATTTTGTGTCTTAAGTTACATCCCTTGCTCTTAGAACAATACTTGACATATGATAGGCACTCAATAAATATATGTCTACTGACTGACCAACAAATTGACTTCTGACTTTTTTTTTAAATTTGGAGTCTCACTCTGTCGCCCAGACTGGAGTACAGTAGCACGCTCCCGGCCACCGCAGCCTCAACCTGCTGGGCTCCGGCGATCCTTCCGCCTCAGCCTTCCAGTAGCCAGAATTACAGGTGCGCACTACCATGCCCAGCTAATTTTTAATTTATTGTAGAGATGAGGTCTCACCAGTTTGCCCGGGTGGGTCTCAAACCCGCGGGCTCAGGCAATCCACTCGTCTCGGCCTCCCAAAGTGCTGGGATTACAGGCTGAGCTACCGAGCCAGGTCTGACTTCTGACTCTTAATTTAACAACTCCTGGCTTCTCTAAGCCCTTCTTCCACTCTTCCTCTTGGATCTGCCTGCCTCACTTCTGTCCTCCAGTCCCACCAGTGAGCGCTGTTCCCCACCTCAGCCTTCACCTAAACCTGGAAGAGAGGACATTAAATGCCAACAGCCAAGTTTTAGTCCTAGATGATCCCTGGACTCAGCAAATGCTGATCAAGTGACTGTCTCTCTCTGGCTTAGGATGGAAAGACGCCAGGAAAGATCGAAGCATCTACCCCGATGGGTTACACTAGGGCTTCTAGAAGGGATTTTGTGGCAGGAGGGAGGGGGGCAGGAGATTGAATGTCTCTGTGACTTGTGCAGGGCAGCATGATGGATGAGCAGTGGAAAGCCCTTCTATGAAACATGCCAGACCTGTTGCAATAGTATCTCTCCCAACAGCCCTGAGTGTGTTTCCCTGAACACATGCTGAATGGTGCTCTGGATTTACATGTGGAAAACGACTTGCCAACTCCTTCTCTGGTGGTCTGTCTGCAGATGCCCCAACAGAGAAAGAAGCAGATGAGAACTGGGGGAGATTTGAACCCCCTTCTCAAAAGCTTCTTGATTTCTTCCTATTCTTTTCTGCAAACAGCCTGCTAGTTTTCAGTTTTGGTACAAAGTGAGCAGGTTTTCTCTCTCTTTAGTGCTTTCTCTCTCTCCCTCACTCTCTCTCTCTCTAAGAAGTGGCCAAAGGAGACAGGAGCCTCTGATGCTCGGCATTCAGGTTTTCTTTGGCAGATGTGAACAGGAAGGTGGGTAGTTTCAGGAGTACCAGCCCTCATCTCAAATTGTGTATTTTTCCTGGGGCTATAAATGCCTGGGAATCCCCCAGTACACTACCAAATACAGTAGAAAGAAGTCAATGAGCCACACACTGACCACGGCGACATCTCTCCAGTGATGGAGAAGTAAAGTATGTGTCGGGACATGCCTCAGACTGGTCAGCTCACGAACCTCCATGGCCTCTTCCCTGCCTGGTTGGCTCTCCGTGGCTGTGACCCGCTTCTGCTAGCCTCTGCATTTTTGTATCTTTTTCTCATTGCGTGGCCCCTTGTCTTTAAAAGGCTAAACTGCTCTGTACTAAATTTGGTCACGCAGCGCTCCAAGATTCCCTGGAATGTCCTCAAGTTTCAAACAGCTCTGACAGCAGAGCAGACCCGCCCCCAGCTTGGGGATTGGCTTCTCCTCTCGGGGCCGGCCAGTTGTTGGGTCTTATTGGCCGCTGGTTAGACCAGCCGGGGTCCACTAGCCCTAGGCTGCGTGGAGGCTGCTGTATCCAGTTAACACTTCAGCACCTGCAGCACAGCAGGGCCAAGGAGCTGCAGTCCTCAACCCGCTGGGGGTTTGCTCCCAAGCCCACTCTGCTCCATCCAGATCAGCTCCCTCCTCTCCCTTCCTTGTCCACAAGGATTCCCATAGCCCCTGGCAAGAGTTGCAGCCCACTTTGCCAAGATGTCCATGGTAGCCAAGTATCACCGGCAGGTGAGTGAAGACCCCGACATCGACAGCCTACTGGAGACCCTGTCTCCTGAGGAAATGGAGGAACTGGAGAAGGAGCTGGATGTGGTAGACCCAGATGGGAGCGTCCCTGTGGGGCTGCGGCAGAGAAACCAGACAGAGAAACAGTCCACAGGCGTATACAACCGGGAAGCCATGCTCAACTTCTGTGAAAAGGAGACCAAGAAACTTATCCAGAGGGAGATGTCCATGGACGTGAGTGAGCGCAACAACCCTGAGGGAAGGAGGGAGGGGAGGGAGGGCTGGAGACCCCGGCTCGTGACTAGGATGCTTCTTTCCCTAGAAGAAACATTCTTGTTGGCAAAGGATTTCATGCTTCAGAACTGCTTATTCTCTATTGAACTAGCACTGTGAAACTCTTACCCCTAATTTCCATTTTATAAGAAGCAGTTGGATATGTTAGAGGAACACAACAGGCCACAAAATCAAATAGGGCTACTAGGAGACTGGGAACTGGAAGGTGTCCTTGAAGACTTCATTGTCAAATTGACTCCCTCCTGATGCCTCAATACCTTTTGTTTTCTTCATGCTTGTCCCATCCTATTGTGAGGAGGAGCAAAAAGATAGAATGATATTTGAAGTCTTCTGTCAGTCACCCAAGAAGAGAACGCTAAGCCCTCCTCGTGGGAGAAAGACTTATTTTTAAGCCTCCTAGACCTATGGGCATCTCATAGCACATGGATTCTTTGAGGAGGCTTGGGGCAGATGGACTTCCCAAAGCAATGGGAGATGGGGGCATGGTCTGTGGGCTGGAAAATCTGTCTTAAAGATACGATAACTTCTTCCCAGGGAAGGTAGTTCTTTTGTTGGTTGGTTGGTTGAGGGTTTTGTTTGTTTTTGTTTTTGTTTTGCACTCTCTAGAGAAGACTCTTGAGCAAGCATCTCTTTTTGGTAACTAACCCTTTTACAAGCTGACAAGCCCGCTTTGCCAGGGGATGAAAGTATTCATAGAGGAGGGAGATCTACCCACATCTGGGATGGGCTTAAGCTTTCTGTTTTCCTGGGTTGGCATGGAGGAATGATTTTCTTTTTTCCATTATTGTGTTCATATGTGAGTTTTCTTTGAACAAACTAGAGTGGGCTCCAATTGGGAATGACTTTGTAGGAGTCCTTCATCCATGGGGAAGAGTGTTGAGTTGGAAAACTATTCTAAGTCTTTGTACTAGTTCTCTTCTAGCCTCGTCTCTTGTGAATTCTTGCAAGAAAGTCCAGTCTCATTCTTCTTTGTTTTATTTCTATGGAAACTGAGGCACAGAACTTCAGATGACACATTCATTCTCAGAGAGGAATTGAGAAAGGAAATATTATTATCTAAAACTTCCGTGGAATGTCTGGCTGGGTAGGCAATTGCTAATCACAGAGCATGTTCATGGATGCAGCCCTGACTCCTTGACTGTAGTAGGGATGGGAAAGTAGACAGGAGGAGAGAAGGGGGCCAGGTCAAGTGAGCAGAGGAGCTGGAGATCTACCTCTGTCTCTACTGCCCCTTGGGCCTGTGTTCAAAGTTTTGCCAAGAAGTGGGGAGAGGGAGGAAAGCCAGGAGGCTCAGGAATGCATTAGCCTGTGTGCAGGGTGGTTGCCCTTGATGCAGCTATGATAATGACAAATAAGTACTAAAACATTTACAGAAAAAAAATGATAGGATTTACTGTGAGGGTCTGGTACCCCAAGGCGGCTACCAGGAAGCATACAGAAATAAATGAACTGCAGACAAAGGCTATGGCATGCCTGGAAACCGTTGGCTCTACTCTTCCTTCCACTCAGTCCCCAGGCTCTATGTTCCTGACTGTCTTGTGTCCGGTGGCTTCTGGTGCTCAGAAAGATACTTGGAGACTGAAGTCAAACAAAACACTCTTCGTCGCAAGTACGATGTTTAGGCCCCACACAGTGTGAGGGACACTCATGTTCCTGGAAATGTCATTCTCACAGACTTTTCCCTCAGCCAGTTAGTGCCATGGCAAGCCTCTCCTTCCCCACCCCATCTCCCTTACCTCTCCCAGGTATAAGCTGATTTCTGCCGACAGAGCCTGAGACATGGAATAAAGGGTGGTGTGTGCCTGTGTGTACATTCTTGGTATAAGGAGATGCCTTTGGGTCCATCTTCCCCTTGTGAAGATAGGCTTTTCCAATCATTCACTCTTCCTCAGCCAGCACAGGGGCATACACCGGCATGATGGCTGACTGGAGTTCAGGGTGCATACTGAACTTGGGCAGAAGTCATCTCTGTGAATCTGGGTTGAATGGAAACGAACCCCCAAAAGCAACTGCTTTAGCACCATTAGCAAAATAGTGAGTGTGCAGAAAAGAACTTGGATTCAAGTATCAGAAAAACCTGGTTGTGTACCAGTGTCTCCTACAGTCTGTATAACTAAATAACTCACAAGTTACCTATCCTGAGTCTCCGTTTCTTCGTCTGCAAAATGAGGAGAGTTGTACCCATCTTGCAGGATGGTTGTGAAAACTAAAACCATCTTGCAGGATGGTTGTGAAAACTAATATGGCAAAGCAAAGAGCCTGGCATATAATAAACACTCAGCAAATGACAGCTGTGACATTGTTAATTTATTTGGGTCAAGGAACACAGAAACTGGTGAAGTGAGCCGAAAGCAAATCTCTATCCCTGCCTCACCCCTCCTTTTTGCCCATCCTCTGAGGACTGTGCAAACCACACCTGTCAGTTCAATTAGTGGCCAGAGTAAACAAGCAAACCCTGCGTGCACTGGGTGGCAAGCACTAATGCTACAACACTGACTGGTGAGTGGGGCTCCAGGCTGCTGGACTGGCAGCAGCCCTTGCTGACGGTGGCCTTCACTCCATGTGAGGACCTAGAAGGCATCAAAATGGACAGTGTGAGCCTAGTTCACTCAACTTGAGGAGGAATGGCCAGATGAGCATTTACTAGGAATCTTCTACGTGCCAAACACATTGTCCTTTTATTTAAGTCTCACAGTTCTTGGGAGATAGGTATTTTTATCCCCATCATCTCTGAGTGGTTGAATAACTGTCCCAAGGTTGCACAGCTAGTAAGTGGCCTGCCTGACTCTGAATCCTGTGCTTCCTCTTCTCTGCCATGATAGGGTGCAGAAAGGGCAGGAATGGCAGCCCCTGCCCTGAGGAATTTAGAATCTAATTAGTCACAAAACACACACACATGGAACCACCAGAGCGTGTTCCAGAGCAATGACCATGCATTCGTGTGTTGTCCTAGGCGCAGTGACTGATGTTATATAGGCTGGCGGGATGCTCGACTCCCTCCCCTTGTGTGGAGAAAAACTGTTAAAACCAAGTGTGGCTAGGAAACGTTGATCCTGGCTACATCATGATGGTATTCAGGAATTTTGTTAATTTCTTTTATGTGTGATGATGATATTGTAGATCTTTGTCTTTCAGAAATATTTATGAGAAAAATTCATCGGATTTGATAATTTGCTTTAAAATATTCTGGGCAGGAGTCTAGATGAAACAAAATTGGCCACCCATGGATAATTGTTTACTGGGTGTACATGGGCATTCATTATACTATTTTCTCTCCTTTTGTATATATTTTGAAATGTTTCATAATGAAACCAAGAAACTAAGAGTTGAAGGCAGTCGCAGTTTGGGTCCTAAGCTCTGGCTTTCCCTGGGGAGGGAGAGCCCCGAGATTCATACTCTGGCTATTATGCTAAGTAGGTCTAGACTGTGGAAGGGACTGCTTCCCCCTCAGTGGGATGGAATACTTCCGGGACTTGCGGGTGTTTACTGCCTCTTTCATGAATAGTCCACATCCCTCATGTCTCTTCCAGGTAAACTCCTATTTGTTTTTCCTGTTTCAGGCACCACTTCCTCCAGGTGGTCTTCCCTGACCCCTAAGCAAAGTTGTGTACCTTGTCTGAGCACTCTGAGACCATGTCATACCAACCCCCACAGGACATCACTTTTTGTAATTGTCTACTTTCTTGGCTGTCTCCCTCGTTAGCTTGTATGATTCTGGAGGGCAAATGCTAATACAGGGTCCAGCACATAGTAAGCCTTCAGCACCATTTGTTGAATGAATATTAGCAGGGGGTGAGGGTGAGGCGGGTGGTGGGACTTGGAAGAACTTCTCTCCTTATCTTTAAAGGGCCAGACCGGTCAGCCAGTGTAGCCCCACCCTGTCCTCTGGGAACTCTCCTTCGGCCCAGGTAGAAGACAAAGCCCTGGGCAGGTACGTAGCCAGCAGTTCAGTGAAACTCTTGTCCTTGGCTCAGGTTTCAGGAACCAGATCCCAACCGGTCAACTCATGTGTTCTCTTTCCTTCCCAAGTGGGAAAGAAAATATCCAGTCTGCCTCCCCCTTCCTTCTCCCTGGTGTTACCAGGGGCTGGGGATTAGCACCTGTACCCAGCCAGGGGCAGGGGTGGCTGAGCTGGGGCTTGGAGAAAGGTTCTCCCTAGAGGTAAACTTGAGAAGCAAACTTGAAGCACTGTGCTGGCCAGCAGCTGCTGGGCCTAAGCCTCCTGACCTTCCCTTCCCACTGCCTGCACGGTTTCAGCAGCCCCCTCCCCCACCAGTCCTAGTTCACCCCCCCCCCACCCAACCAGTTGTAGTTCATGGCTCAGTGTCCATGGTATCTCTGCAGGGATGGGAATGCCAATGCCAGGAAGGCCTGAGGCCGGCGGCACTAACCCTCAGAATGCCCTTTGCAGAGGGCTGGGCCCTAGCAGGAGTGCACTGGGCAGCACGGCTCATCGCTTAAGGAGATTAACCCCGACTGGTACACACCCAAAATAGCCCTGAAGGCCAGGGTGGAGAGGGCAGGAGAGGTGATAGGGGCCTGCTGACCCAGGGAGGCAAAGGCAAGCACCCAGAGAGGGTTAGACAAGTTTATAATTTCTCTCTGGTGTTTGAAACTGCCTCCACCCAGAGTTTGTAAAAGCAGCTGTTTCTTAAACTAGATGATAAGGCCCACAGGTGGTTTTTTTTTTTTTTGAGTTGGAGTCTCACTCTGTCGCCCAGCCTCCACCTGCTGGGCTCCGGCAATCCTTCTGCCTCAGTCTTCCAAGTAGCCAGAATTACAGGCATGCGCTACCACGCCCAGCTGATTTTTTGATTTATTGTAGAGGTGAGGTCTCGCTGCCTAGGCGGGTCTCGAACCCGCGGGCTCAGGCAATCCACTCACCTCAGCCTCCCAAAGGCACGGGATTACAGGCTGAGCCACCGAGCCCGGTTTAGGTG